GATCCTCCCAACTTAGCCTCCCAAGTAGCTAGGACTACAGGGCTTGCACCACCATGCCTGGCTCATTTTTTAATTTTTTTTTTTGTAGAGACTGGATCTCCTTATGTTGCCCAGCTGATCATAAACTGGGCTCACAAGCAATCCTCCTATCTCAGGCTCCCTACATGCTAGGATTACAGGCATGAATCACCATGCCCGGTCAGTATTGAATTTTAAAATTCTTGTACCTAGTATATTGCAGGAATGTAATTTGCTCTGTTTTCACTCAATATCGTTTTTGAGACCTAATCATGTTGATGCCCATGCCGAGCACTGTTCTGGGCACTGAGAATACAACCAAATAAAGCAAAGTCCCTTTCCTCACAGAGTCTTGTCTCTGGACAGGTTAGGAGGCATACATAGCATAAAGGGACCAGTATCTATCTAGCTATTCCCAGCTGATGGGCATTGCAAATGCATTTCCATTGGTTTACTATAACAACATTCCAAAGAACATCTCTGGCCAGGTGCAGTGGCTCATACCTGTAATCCTAACACTTTTCAGGAGGCCAAGGCAGGAGGATCACTTGAGGCCAGTAGTTCAAGACCAGTCTGGGCAACATAGGGAGACCCTGTCTCTATGAAAAATCAAAAAATTATGGCTGGGCATGGTGGCTCATGCCTGTAATCTCTGCACTTTGGGACGTCAAGGCAGGTGGATCACTTGAGGTCAGGAGTTCGAGACCAGCCTGGCCAATATGGTGAAACCCTAGCTCCACTAAAAATACAAAAATTAGCCAGGCATGGTGGCAGGCACCTGTAATCCCAGTTACTCAGGAGGCTGAGGCAGGAGAATTGCTTGAACCCAGGAGGCAGAGGTTGCAGTGAGCTGAGATCACACCACTGAACTCCAGCCTGGGTGACAGAGCCAGACTCCATCTCAAAAAAAAAAAAAAAAAAAAATTAGCCAGGCATGGTGGTGCACACCTGTACTCTCAGCTACTCAGGAGGCTGAGGTGGGAGGATCGCTTGAGCCTGGGCAGTCGAGGCTGCAGTGAGCCAAGATCATGCCACTGCACTCCAGCCTAGGCAACAGAAAGAGAACCTGTGTTTAAAAAAATAATAATACAGAAAAAAACAGCTCTGTATATGTCTCCTGGTACGTATATACTATGTATATAGTTTGCAAACTCAGAGGTCCAGATAGTCAATTTTTTAGGCTTGTGGGCCATACGGTGTCTGTCACAACTACTCTCCCTTGTCTTTCTAGCACAAAAGCAGCTATAAACAATACATGTGTGAATTTTTTATAGACATGGAGATTTGAATTTCATATGATTTTTACTTTTTTTTTTTTTTTTTTTTTGAGATGGAGTCTTGTTCCTTGCCCAGGCTGGAGTGCAATGGTATAATCTCGGCTCACTGCAAGCTCCGCCTCCCGGGTTCACGCCATTCTCCTGCCTCAGCCTCCCGAGTAACTGGGACTACAGGCGCCCACCACCACGCCCAGCTAATTTTCTGTATTTTTAGTAGAGACCGGGTTTTACCATGTTAGCCAGGATGGTCTTGATCTCCTGACCTCGTGATCCGCCCGCCTCGGCCTCCCCAAAGTGCTGGGATTACAGGCGTGAGCCATCGCACCCGGCCGATTTTTACATTTTATAAAATCATCTTTGTAAAAAATTTCCCCTAACCGGCCTGGCGTGGTGGCTCAAGCCTGTAATCCCAGCACTTTGGGAGGCCGAGGTGGGCAGATCACGAGGTCAGGAGATCGAGACCATCCTGGCTAACACGGTGAAACCCCATCTCTACTTAAAAAATACGAAAAACTAGCCGGGCAAGGTGGCGGGCGCCTGCAGTCCCAGCTACTCGGGAGGCTGAGGCAGGAGAATGGCGTAAACCCTGGAGGCGGAGCTTGCAGTGAGCTGAGATCGCGCCACTGCACTCCAGTCGGGGTGACAGAGCGAGACTCCGTCTCAAAAAAAAAAAAAAAAAAAAAAAAAAAAAATTTCCCCTAACCATTTAAAAGTGTAAAAGCCAGCCGGGCGCCATGGCTCACACCTGTAATCCCAGCACTTTGGAAGGCTGAGGCGGGCAGACCACTTGAGACCAACAGTTCGAGACCAGCCTGGCCAACGTGGCAAAACCCCATCTCTACTAAAAATAAAAAAATTAGCCAGGCGTGGTGGTGCACACCTGTAGTCCCAGCTACTTGGGAGGGAGGCTGAGGCAGGAGAATCGCTTGAACCCAAGAGGCGGAGGTTGCAGTGAGCCAAGATCGTGTCACTGCACTCCAGCCTGGGCGACAGAGCAAGACTCGGTCTCAAAAAAACACAACAACAACAAAAAAAGTTGTAAAAGCCATTTCTAACTCAGTGTACATACTCAGGTCTGTGTACTCCTGCTCGGAGGCATACCTGAGAAGTAGAGTTGCTTGGTCACGGGGCATAGACGTTTCCACCTTAACTAGACACTACCAAGTTGCCATCCAAGGAGGTTTTTTTAACAATCTACACTCCCCCCAGCAACAAATGAGAGTTACTCCAGATCTTTTACAAAGATGCTATAAACCCAGTACCAGATGAAAACAGGAAGTGGGAGGGGAAGCTGCCAGCCACTTCTAACCATGAAGAAATACCTGGGAGAGCCTTCTGGATGCTGGAAGGATGACTAACGGGGGTCTTTGGAGCCTGCCCCCTGTCAGATCACTGTGGCTTCTGAGCCTCCAGTCCAGCTCAGTCCCACGTACCATGGCCGGTGGTAATGAGCCCTTGCTCTGTTTGGTCTTTATTCTCCCCCGTGTGGGGCTGAAGTCTGGATTGAGCCGTTATTCAAGATGTACAGCTTTCTTTTTTTTTTTTTTTTTTTTTTTTGAGACGGAGACTCGCTCTGTCGCCCAGGCTGGAGTGCAGTGGCCGGATCTCAGCTCACTGCAAGCTCCGCCTCCCGAGTTCATGCCATTCTCCTGCCTCAGCCTCCCGAGTAGCTGGGACTACAGGCGCCTGCCACCTCGCCCGGCTAGTTTTTTTGTAGTTTTAGTAGAGACGGGGTTTCACTGTGTTAGCCAGGATGGTCTCGATCTTCTGACCTCGTGATCCGCCCGTCTCGGCCTCCCAAAGTGCTGGGATTACAGGCTTGAGCCACCGCGCCCGGCCTCAAGATGTACAGCTTTCTTGACAGGAAAGTAGTATCACAGAAACAGCAGGGGCTTGAGAAGATGATCTAACTGCAAATCCTACCTGGCTCAGCCACCTGCTAGTTCTGTGATCTTGAACAAGTTTTTTCACTTCTCCGAGGCCCTCCCTTGGTTACAATCCACCAGTTGGTTGTACACCTGTAATCCTAGCACTTTGGGAGGTCAAGGCGGGTGGATGGCTTGAGCCCAGGAGTTTGAGACCAGCCTGGGCAACCTGGTGAAACCCCCTCTCTGCAAAAAAAAAAAAAAAAAAAATACAAAAATTAGCCGAGCGTGGTGGTCCGTGCCTGTGGTCCCAGCTACTCAGGAGGCTAAAGTGGGAGGATCACTGGAGCCCAGGAGGTGGAGACTTCGGTGAGCTGTGATTGCACCGCAGCACTCCAGGCTGGGGGACAGAGTGAGACCCTGTTTCCCCCCACAAATAAAATGGACAAAAGTGTAATAAAACGTGCCTGACACAGTGGCTCATGACTGTAATCCCAGCACTTTGGGAGGCCGAAGCAGGTGGATCACCTAAAGTCAGGAGTTCGAGACCAGCCTGACCAACATGGAGAAATCCCATCTCTACTAAAAATGCAAAATTAGCCAGCTGTGGTGGCGGTGGTGGCACATGCCTGTAATCCAAGCTACTCAGGAGGCTGAGGCAGGAGAATCGCTTGAACCCGGGGGTGGAGGTTGCAGTGAGCCGAGATCATGCCATTGCACTCCAGCCACTCCAGCCTGGGCAACAAGAGCCAAACTCTGTCTTAAAAAAAAAAAAGAAAAGAAAAAGAAAAAAAAGTGCCTGACGTATAAGAGGTATGCGATGCAATAGTTGCCAGGCAACATGTTTAAGAATGTGGAGCTTCTGCCTTCCATGGTCCTGTTAAAAAACCCACCCTCAAGGCCAGGGGCCGTGGCTCATGCCTGTAATCCCAGCACTTTGGGAGGTTGAGGTGGGTGGATCACCCGAGGTCAGGAGTTTGAGATCAGCCTGACCAACATGGTGAAATCCCACCTCTACTAAAAATACAAAATTAGATGAGCATGGTGGTGCATGCCTGTAATCCCAGCTACTTGGGAGGCTGAGGCAGGAAAATCACTTGAACCAGGGAGGCAGAGGTTGTAGTGAGCCGAGATCGTGCCATTGCACTCCAGCCTGGGCAACGAGCAAAACTCAGTCTCAAAAAAACAAACAAACAATAAAAACAACAACAACAACAAAATCCCATCCTCTGCTCCCAGGGAGCTGGGCACTGAACTGGGCCCCATCACTGCAAGGTGCTGAGCCACGGAGCTGAGGCGGAGCTGCAGGACAGGGGACCAGATGACAGCGTGTGAGCAGATCAGCAGGTGATGTCCCTGCCAGTGGTGACCACCAGGGGGCCCCCAAGCACCAGAGATGGCCCCACCTAGTCACCACGTCCACCATCCAGAGATGTCTGTTTCTTGGCAGGCTGAGGTAAATTAGGACAGAAAGTGACAGTCTTGGGTGTGGTCAGTCAGACTGTCCCAGGCAGGCCCCGTGGCCTGTAGAAAATGTTCAGGCCTAGGCCGGGCACGGTGGCTCAAGCCTGTAATCCCAGCACTTTGGGAGGCCGAGACGGGCGGATCACGAGGTCAGCAGATCGAGACCATCCTGGCTAACACGGTGAAACCCTGTCTCTACTAAAAATACAAATTAGCCGGGTGTGGTGGCAGGCGCCTGTAGTCCCAGCCTCTCGGGAGGCTGAGGCAGGAGAATGGCGTGAACCCGGGAGGCGGAGCTTGCAGTGAGCCGAGATTGTACCACTGCACTCCAGCCTAGGCGACAGCGAGACTCCATCTGGAAACAAAAAAAAAAATGAAAAAGAAAATGTTCAGGCCTGAGCCAGGGGCCCGGGCTGTAATTCTGTCACTTACCATGACCTTGGGCAAAGCTACTTCCTTCCCTGGCACAGTTCACAGGGCTGGAACCAACTCCAAGGTCCCTTCCAGCATGAATGTTGCATGGTTCTAGGATGAGACGATGGGGACAGTTTCCCCTCTCTCAGCCCAACCCGTGTCCACTTCAAGGTGAATGGCCAGGGAAGTCACGTGTCCCAACCCCCCAGTTCCAAAGCCCTTGGGGACCCTGCTGTCGGGTGGTGCACGAGGAGGTGAAGGTCAGGTGAAAAAATCGCCTCGAAGGGTCTTGCCTCATTTGGGACAGACATCCGGTTTCCTCTGGGCTCTACCGGGATTCCAGGGGCTTAACTGAATGAGTCATGGGGTCAGGGGGGTTTCTGGGGGAGTTCCCAGCTAATCAGCTTGGGTCAGGACAGCCTGGAACTTTCGATGGTGCCTATCCAAGTGTGGGGTGGGCACTGCAGCCAAGACCCAATGTCCTTATCTCAGGTAGGGGCCCTCAGGAGGTCACCCAGACAGGTAGCCTCTGGAGGGTTTGGGGGCAGGAATGGGGGAAACCAGTTTCTTTCTCTCTTAGAATGTGGGGGCTTCGGGGGCAGGCTTGAGAATCCCAAAGGAGAGAGGCAAAGGACACTGCCCCTGCAAGTCTGCCAGAGCAGAGGGAGACCCCACTCAGCCGCCACTTCCCCACAGGCTGCTGCCGCTTCCAGGCATCTACCAGCGACTCAGCCTTTGTTCAGCTGTTCTGTTCAAACACCCTGGGGCCATTCAGGCCTGGGTGGGGCAGCGGGAGGAAGGGAGTTTGAGGGGGGCAAGGCGACGTCAAAGAAGTATCAGAGATTCCACAATTTCACAAAACTTTCGCAAACAGCTTTTTGTTCCAACCCCCCTGCATTGTCTTGGACACCAAATTTGCATAAATCCTGGGAAGTTATTACTAAGTCTTAGTCGTGGCCCCAGGTAATTTCCTCCCAGGCCTCCGTGGGGTTATGTATAAAGGCCCCCCTGGAGCTGGGCCCCAAAACAGCCCGGAGCCTGCAGCCCAGCCCCACCCAGACCCATGGCTGTACCTGCCGCCCAGAGCCCCATGAAGCTGATGGGTGAGTGTCTTGGCCCAGGATGGGAGAGCTGCCCGCCCTGGCATGGGAGGGAGGCTGGTGTGACAGAGGGGCTGGGGATCCCCGTTCTGGGAATGGGGATTAAAGGCACCCAGTGTCCCCGAGAGGGCCTCAGGTGGTAGGGAACAGCATGTCTCCTGAGCCCGCTCTGTCCCCAGCCCTGCAGCTGCTGCTGTGGCACAGCACACTCTGGACAGTGCAGGAAGCCACCCCCCTGGGCCCTGCCAGCTCCCTGCCCCAGAGCTTCCTGCTCAAGTGCTTAGAGCAAGTAAGGAAGATCCAGGGCGATGGTGCCGCGCTGCAGGAGAAGCTGGTGAGTGAGGCGGGCGAGAGGGCTGTGGAGGGAAGCCCAGTGGGGAGAGCTAAGGGGGATGGAACTGTGGGCCGACATCCTCAGGAAGGGACGTGGGAGAATATTAGGAGCGGTGGAGCTGGGGAAGGCTGGGAAGGGACTTGGGGAGGAGGACCTTGGTGGGGACAGTGCTCGGGAGGGCTGGCTGGGATGGGAGTGGAGGCATCACATTCAGAAGAAGGGGCAAGAGCCGTTGTGAGATGAGAGGGTGGGGGTGCAGGGCAGAGAGGAACTGAACAGCCTGGCAAGACATGGAGGGAGGGGAAAGACCAGAGAATTGGGGAGGACCAGGGAAGGAGGAGCGGCGACCTGGCCACGGCGAGTCTCACTCTGCATCCTTCCATCCCCAGTGTGCCACCTACAAGCTGTGCCACCCCGAGGAGCTGGTGCTGCTTAGACACTCTCTGGGCATCCCCTGGGCTCCCCTGAGCAGCTGCCCCAGCCAGGCCCTGCAGCTGGTGAGTGTCAGGAGAGGATAAGGCTGATGAGCAGGGGAAAGGAGAGGAGGGACACCCATGGGCTCCCCCAGGTCTCCAGGTTCCAAGCTGAGGGCCTGATGGGAGGGTCTCAGGCAGCACCCCCTAACTCTTCTGCTCTGTCTCCCAGACAGGCTGCTTGAGCCAACTCCATAGCGGCCTCTTCCTCTACCAGGGGCTCCTGCAGGCCCTGGAAGGGATCTCCCCTGAGTTGGGCCCCACCTTAGATACACTGCAGCTGGACGTTGCCGACTTTGCCACCACTATCTGGCAGCAGGTGAGCCTTGTTGGGCAGGGTGGCCAAGGTCATGCTGGCATTCCAGGCACCGCAGCCGGGCCTGTGTATGGGCCCTGTCCATGCTGTCAGCCCCCAGCATTTCCTCATTTGTAATAACGCCCACTCAGCAGGGCCCAGCCACTGATCGCAACTTTCCTCTACAGATGGAAGACCTGGGAATGGCCCCTGCCCTGCAGCCCACCCAGGGTGCCATGCCAGCCTTCACCTCTGCCTTCCAGCGCCGGGCGGGAGGCGTCCTGGTTGCCTCCCATCTGCAGCGCTTCCTGGAGCTAGCGTACCGCGTTCTACGCCACCTTGCCCAGTCCTGAGCCAAGCCCTCCCCATCCCATGTATTTATCTCTATTTAATATTTATGCCTATTTAAGCCTCATATTTAAAGACAGGGAAGAGTAGAACGAAGCCCCAGGCCTCTGTGTCCTTCCCTGCATTTCTGAGTTTCATTCTCCTGCCTGTAGCAGTGAGAAAAGCTCCTGTCCTCCCATCCCCTGGACTGGGAGGTAGATAGGTAAATACCAAGTATTTATTACTGTGACTGCTCCCCAGCCCTGGCTCTGCAGTGGGCACTGGGATGAGCCACAGTAAGCCCCTGGTCCCAGGGGTCCCCACCTGGGGCCCTTGAGAGTATCAGGTCTCCCACGTGGGAGACAAGAAATCCCTGTTTAATATTTAAACAGCAGTGTTCCCCATCTGGGTCCTTGCACCCCTCACTCTGGCCTCAGCCGACTGCACAGCGACCCCTCCATCCCTTTGGGTGTGAGGTCCCTGGACAAGCAGAGGCAGCCAGAGCTGGGAAGCATGGCCCTGGGGTCCCACGAACTTGCTGGGGAATCTCGTTTTTCTTCTTAAGACTTTTGGGACATGGTTTGACTCCCCACATGAGGAACTCAGGCATCACCGATGTGTCTCCTGTTTTTCTGGGTGCCCTCGGGACACCTGCCCTGCCCCCATGAGGGTCAAGACTATGACTCTTTTTAGGGCTCGGCAGGTGCCTGGATATTTGCCTTGCTGGACAGGGACTGGGGATGTGGGAGGGAGCAGACAGGAGGAATGATGTCAGACGTGTGTGTGAAAGGAAGCTCAACTGTCACCCTCCACCTCTTCACCCCCGACTCACCAGTGTCCCCTCCACTGTCGCATTGTAACCAAACTTCAGGATAATAAAGTGTTTGCCTCCAGTCATGTCCTTCCTCCTCCTTGAGTCCAGCTGGTGCCTGGTCAGGGGCTGGGGAGGTGGCTGAAGGCTGGGAGGGGCCTGAGGGGGAGGTCAGGGAGGAGGTCCAGGGAGAAGGGGGAAGGTTCTCAAGTTCGTCTGACATTCATTCCATTAGCACGTATTTATCTGAGCACCCACTCTGTGCAGATGCTGGGCTAAGTGCTGGGGACACAGCAGGGAACAAGGCAGACATAGAATGAGCAGCCACAGCCACGCAGGGAAGACAGAGGCACTGGGACCATGGGAACCCGGAAAGGAGAGGGCATGGGGTCCAGGTGGGCTTAACAGGCCAGACACAGTCAGACAAGATGAAGCCAAGGACTGCTGAGCATCTGTACCAGGCTTGTCATTTACCATCTTCCATAAACTTGAGCCCATCCATCAAGTTGGAGTTTCTCTCCTCCTCAGGCTCAGTCTCTGCACTTGCCCCAGCTGGTCACTTCCTGCTTACGGCAGCCCCGTAAGCTGAAGAGCGCTAAGCTCACAGCACAGGAGGGTGCAGAGCTGTGGCAAGTAGGGGGGCCAGCGACCACACTGCAGGTGTGAGGCCTGCCTGCAGCCAAAGACTCCTGTGTGGCTTTGGGGTACCCCCACCAGCCCCCAGTCCACTATCTGCCCAAGCCTTGTCCTCCTCAGCTCCTCGGTCCCTCCCACCTCCCCAGCCCATGGCTCCTCAGAAACAGGGTCAGAAGTGTCCACTGCCAGCTCAGAGTCATCCATCTAGGGGCTCAGAGACGTGTGAGGCAGGCAAGGAAGGGTTAAAGAAAGGTCCGGCCCTCATCCCCCCACCTCCCATCCCCCAGCCCTTTTTTGGAGGCAACAGATCAAATCCCAGGCTAGTCAGAGTGTGGGTAGGGTTGGGCCAGGTTCGGGAGACAGCAGAGCAGGCCACCCTGCCCCAGCACTGTGGGGCCCTGAGCCAAAGCCTCTCCCCTTTCAGGGTACAGCTGGCTTTGCGGAAGGGGGCAGCAGGCCGGCCAACTTGGCTCCAAGGAAGGGAAGCTGCTTTCCCCTGGCCCTTCCTCAGCTGAGCAAGTCCACATAGGACCCTGAGCCCTGCCACCCCTGCACCTCTTCCTCCACCTCCTCACCACAGGAGTGAGCTTTCCCCGGCCACAGCACAGGCAGTCCAGGGAGAGAGCACTGTGCCCTGCCCCGGGTGACACTGACACCAACAGCACCCACAGTCGCAAAGGGATCCACGAGGAGCTTTATTTACACATGAACAAAGGTAGATTTCCCTCACATATTACAAAATATATATATACATACACACACACACACACACACACACACACACACACACACACTGCGTCTAGAAAGTTCCTCAGAAGTAAGACTACTCCTGGGCTGGGGCGGGCGCACACAGGGGTGACCACTGGGCTTGTGGTCCAGGCTGCTCACACTCCTCAGGTGCTGGCAGACAGAGAAGAAATTTCAAAAGAGGAAACCAGGAGACATCCTGGAGGTCAGGAGTCAGGAGCGGGGAACTGGAAGCTGCCAGAGGCTCTTGCACCACGTGGAGCGGATGTGAGCCACGATGCCTCATCTTTCCTCACTGCTTCCCTTGGAGGCGCCTGGGGCTGCACCAGTCCCCAGCCCCCAGCCCCCACTGCGGCCATGCCAAGCCCCTCAGAGTGCAGCAATGGCTTTAGCAGCCACCTGGCGGCCCAGGGGCAGGCTGAGGTCCGTGATGGCCAGAACCACCTTGGGGCTGGACATGGCTGACACCTTCACCAGTTCCGACACCTGCCACAGACAGAGATGCTGCTTGCTGGATGGCTGGTGGTGGGCGTGCTGTCCCACGGGAAGGAAGCCCCTCCCTGCTCCAAGGGCTGCGCTGAGGCCCCAGAACCAGCGGGAGAGCCAGGAAGGTGGTACTCACAGTGGTGAAGGGCATGAACTGCAGGACACTGCCGCGGCCACCCTGCTCCAGGCAGTCCACACACTCCTCCATGAACCACTGCACGAACTGGGTGTGGGGGCCAGCGGTGCGCGACCCCAGGATGGAGGAGATGAGCAGGAAGAGGTTGGCTGTGGAGAGTGACAGGAGAGAGTTCCATGAGAGGGGGTGAGGTCACACTCTGGGAGAAGGTGGGACTGAAAAGGGAAAAGAAATACATGCTGAGCATGTCCCCAAAATGGGGTGTCAGAGAGAGAAAATATAAAAGGCAACTGGGGAGGGGAGGAGGGGGAACTAGACAGGAGCCTGGGAGCCAGGACAGCCAGCAATGAGGGGCATGGAGGGAGAAGGGAGGGGCGCCATGAGACCCCTTCCAGCTGACAAGGTCGCCCAGCCTCCATGAGGAGAGGGACTCATCCAGCTAACCCCCAGGTTCAGCAGCAGGGGTAGGGAACTTACCCAGGACTCGGTTCAGAGGGTCCCGCATGTTGACGGTGTGGAGCTGAGAGGCTGAGAGGGAGCTGCTCATGGACCGGTCTGCTGTGGGATGGAGCAGACGGAGCGCTGGGGAACAGCCTGCCTAGTGCAAAAGCGGCGCTCCCTGGGGATACCCCCACCCGACCTTCACCCATCGGAGGTAACTGGTACATGGAAAGCCCAGAGAAGACCCTGAGATCAAAAGCACAGAGGGAGGCTGGGTGCAGGGGCTCACACCTGTAATCCCAGCACTTTGGGAGGCCAAGGCAGGAGGATTGCTTGAGCCCAGGAGTTCGAGACCAACCTTGGCAACTAGCAAGACTCCATCTCTACAAAATATACAAAAATTGGCTGGGCATGGTGCCAAAGCCTGTAGTCCCAGCTCCTTGGGAGGCTGAGGCAGACTGCTTGAGCCCAGGAGAACAAGGCTGCAGTGAGCCGAGATGGTGCCACTGTACTCCAGCATGAGCAACAGAGCAAAACCCTGTCTCAAAAAAACAGGCTGAGAGCGGGGGTTCACGCCTGTAATCCTAGCACTTTGGGAGGCCAAGGTAGGTAGATCACCTGAGTTCAGGAGTTCGAGACCAGTCTGACTAATATGGTGAAACCCCATCTCTACTAAAAATACAAAAATTAGCCGGGCGTTGTGGCAGGCGCCTGTAGTCCCAGCTACTCGGGAGGCTCAGACAGAAAAACTGCTTAACCCAGGAGGCGGAGGTTGCAGTGAGCTGAGATCACGTCACTGCACTCCCTCTGGGCAAGAGAGGGAGACTCCAACTCAAAAAAAAACAGAAAAAAAGGCACACAGGGGCCTCAGATACAGAGATCCCAACGGAGATGAGAGAAAAACTAATGTGTGGCGAGCACACAGCGCCAGGGGCCGATCTTGGTACGTCCTAGGCCGCTTACTCCTCACAACACCCCATTTACAGATGAGGAGACCCAGATGGGGGCTGGCTCAGTCACTAAAGGTCACAGCGCTTGCAGCTGGAGCATTTTTCTTCTGATCAAGTGTATAATTGGTCCCTTAGTCCCTAAAAGCCTTCAGAGAAAAGTTCAGGCTCAGGAGAAATCTCTGGAAACAGGAAAAATGCCACAGAAGGAGCCCTTTGCAGTAAGTTTGGCAGGGAGGAGAGGACAGTGAGAAGGATGCCCTCCAGGGAAGAGAGGGGTGGCGGGGTGTGCTCTTCAGGCAGGAAGGTGGGGAGTAGTCCCAAGTTCCAGCCCGGGCCTCTCCGGGCATGTTCGGGGGAAGGAAGGAAGGTCAGAGCTGGTGAGTCAATGGCACAGGCTGTGCCTAAGGCGGTGAACTCATTTGGGTAGCTTGTCATCCCCTCAACCCTGGGGTAAGGGAGGGGGCAGGAGGGTTGCAGGCGGCAGTGGGGGAGGGGGGCTCGGGGGAACAGCTGTGGGTTGGGCTGGACCTGGGCAGAGGAGCTTCAGCCCTCAGGGAGTGAGAACAGCAACCTCTTCCCTAAGGGCAAGACACAGAGCACCCCCCTGGGGGCTAAAACAGCAGGTCCCTGCCACACCCTCTCTGACCAGCTGCGAAGATGCCTGCAGCTGGGGCAGTGGCAGAGTGGCAGCATCGGGGAGTGGATTCCCAGGAACGGGACCGGCGTGCCACCAGCCCACACACTCACTGGGGCTTGAAAGGATGTTGGCATCATCCTCATTGGAGCTCAGCAGTCGCATCAACTTCGAAGGCTGCACATC